TATTATTATTATTATTATTATTATTATTATTATTATTTTCCAATTTAGAGAGCTTTCCTAGCTCATCATGCAACTTAATGATCATATACAGCGGGTAAAATAAGTATTGAACACATCACCATTTTGCTCAGTAAATATATTTCTATAGGTGCTGTTGGCATGAAATTTTCACCAGATGTCGGTAACAATAAAAGTAATCCATACATACAAAGAAAGCAAAACAAATAGGTTCAGAAATTAAGTTCTGTGTAATAAAGTAGAACAACACAGGGAAAAAAGTATTGAACACATGAAGAAAGGGAGGTGCAAATAGGTATGGAAAGCCAAGACACCAGCTGAAATCTATCAGTAATTAGAAAGCAATCCTGCCCCTTGTCAGTGGAAATTAATATTAGTTGGTTCAGTCCCAACTGATGGCCTATAAAAAGGTGTCTCATGACCAACGTGTCACACAAGAAACATTTCATGATGGGTAAAAGCAAAGAGCTTTCTCAAGACCTTTGCAACCTTATTGTTGCAAAGCATACTGATGGCATTGGTTACAGAAGGATTTCTATACTTCTGAATTTTCCAGTGAGCACTGTTGGGGCTATAATCCGGAAGTGGAAAGAACATAATTTCACCATAAACCGCCACGACCAGGTGCTCCTCGCAAGATTTCTGACAGAGGAGTGAAAATAATTATCAGAAGAGTTGTCCAAGAACCAAGGATCACTTGTGGAAAGCTTCAGAAAGACCTGGAATTAGCATGTACAATTGTTTCAAAGAAAATAAGTACAATAAGTAAGTAATGCGCTCAACCGCCGTGGCCTGTATGCACGCTCAACATGCAAGGCTGGAACTTTGCTGCACAACATTTAGACAAGCCTGTGAAATACTGGGAGAATATAGTCTGGTCAGATGAGACAAAAATTTTACTCTTTGGATGCCATAATACACACCATATTTGGAGGTCAAATGGCACTGCACTTCACCCCAAAAACATCATGCTGTGGCACTGGCAAAATTCATATAATTAAAGGAAGGATGAATGGAAAAATGTCATTACCAACAAAAGGCTTTTGTACGAAGTATTAAATAAATGTCAGTAAGCGTGTTGAATAATTTTTCCCTGGGTCATTCCATTTTATTACATAGAACTTAATTTCTGAACTTATTTGTATTGTTTTCTTTCTATGTATGGATTACTTGGGTTGTTAACGACATCTGGTGAAAATTTCATGTCAACAGCACCTTTAGAAATATATTTATTGAGAAAAATGGTGATGTGTTCAATACTTATTTTACCCACTGTATGCAAAGCTTCTCAAAACACTATTGGCTAAAAAATTGTAAGAGGGCATGAGACGTTTCACTCTGAATGAGCATTTTTTTTTCCGTACTTCATTCTTTATACAGCCAGGTGAGCAGGGGCTCTGAATTCTGGCCCTGAACCTGCCTGTATGGTGCAAGGAGCACCTGTGCAGGTTGTGACGGATTATGCAGGGAAGGTAGCTGCCTGAGTGTCAACGACAGCAGTTTTGATTAAGTGTTAAATGATGAAGTGTCCATACCGGCGTGAGAGAGACAGGTTACCTGTCATCCCCCACCCAGCCCACCACCCCTCCTTTCTCTCTTCCTGTCACCCCTACAGTCATTTGTTCTTCCCCTCTTCCTCAGCAGTGCTGGCAGAAGGCCCTCTGACAAGCTGATTCATGTTCTATCTGGCACAGGCCTCTCAAAACAATTTAAGAATGAAATATTGTCTTCTCCCTCTCTAATGTATGACACTTCCACTTCTGTTCCCTGCTGCCTCTTCCATTTCATCTGACCTGTAGGGTTTGTTCTGACTGAAGGGTCCTGTGAGGTGACCTGAGGCCCGGAGGAGCATTTGTGTAAGCTATTAAAAGTGAAGTGAGACACAGAGGGAGCTGAACCAGAACCTCTGACCTCACAACTGGGACATTGGGGAATCTCTCCTGATATCTACTTTCATAACTCATGAAACCACTGACAAGCACTGTTTCTTAGCGAAGTTTGTTTGTACAGTAAGCAAGAATAGCTTTCAAATGGAAATATTCTACTTGCATTTAATCGAGAGCATTTATTCGGTTTTTTTTTTCTTGCTAAATAAATAGGGATTTGAACACTGCCTTCAACCTTATAACGATTCTTATATTTAGACACTTAAAATGACTTACTAGTTAAGTTGTCAACGGCTTTGTGGTCATACATGTTATCAAGAAATCGTTTTGCACATTTGCAAATTCACATCTAAGGGATACGCTGCCATTAATCGCTCAATACGGATGTTAATAAAGTCTCAGAGGGTCCCATTTAGCCTGTCATATATTTCCTTGAATATCTTATATTCTGATAAACTAGTTCAATCACACAAATGGCAGTGAAATAAGTTTAAAAAATCATCAAAAAAGATCCTTTCTTGCCCTATGTTACAGAAATGTATATTGACATAAATAATGCAAATGGTGATTTCTGTAGCAGCCACCATGATCTGCTTCATTGTATAGAATGGTCTCTTACTGTTCATTTTCTGTCATTTCATATTTAATTTTGTTCAAAGCATATAAAAATTATTTTGCAGATGTCTCTTCTTGGTAAATGGGAGATCAAAGTCTGATAGATTTTTATATTATGTAAGCACACAACTCATGTGCCTTGATATATTTCATGTTGGATGTGTGTTTGTGCATTTTTTAATGTATTTGTGGCTGTAAAAGATCGTTGAAATATGAAAAAAAAATCTCTCGCCTTCTTTATTACCATTTCCTATCCTTATTTTCATTACTCTCACTCTAAGATCTGAGCTTCTCTTCATTAATTTGAAGAGAAAAACAGTATAAAATGAGAAAATTGTGATGACTTCTTGCTCACCCCAATAATGCAAGCCCTCAGGCCCAGGAACTGTGGTGTGAACACATCTCAAATCTGTAGATTGCATTACCATCAAAGAATGCAGCGACCTTTGCTACAAAGTTTAAAACCCAATTTATTCTTTGTGCTATTATAGCCGTCCTATCACTACCCTTACAAAGTGGAGCGTCATTTCACAAGACACTGAGGACTATTTCAGATTTGTTTGTTCAGAAATCCTTTGAAGACACCGAGGCCTCACGCTCAAGGTTAAAACCAATATAAAGAACAGTTGTTGCATGATGAGCAATACCTCTGACAGGGTCTGGAACTAACAGGACTGGATCATGACTACAGCCCCCAGGAGGAGCTGCGGGTCTCTGGGGGAAGAGCTGAAAATCAAGCCCTGGAGTCATGGTGAGCGAGCTGGACTCTTTGAAGCTGGATTAGCTCAGGTGAATCAAAGGCAAATGTGCCTCACTTTCACCCACTTGAGCTCTAGTCGCTGGTAATTCATCTTCCTTTTTTGACATTTGGCACCCCAAAAGTTTGGGTCAGGAGAGGGAAAGGCAGACAGTTTTCTGTGCAGATGTCTGGGTGTGTGTTAATGTGTGTTAAAGTGTAGGAGAAAGTCCCTTTCATTTTTTGTGTCATAATTCTGTTCTTTCTGCTCTTACTCGTCACACTACAGTGACTTTCTCAATTTCTAAGGGGGCAAAAATATTGTAAATTATAGACCTTTTTTTTGGTAAACTTTCCTTCCTTTTTTTATGTTTTACATCTTACAAAATGTATTTATATATACACACACACACTCACTGGCCACATTTCTGTGCACCCGTTCAACTGCTGTTCAAATATCTAATCAGCCAATCACATGGCAGCAACTCGTTACATTAAGGCATGTAAACATGGTCAAGACGAACTGCAGAAATGCAAAATGAGCATCAGAATAGGAATTTTTCATGACTTTAAACATGGTGTAGTTGTTGGTGCCAGGCAGGCTGGACTGAGTATTTTAGAAACTGCTGATCTACTGGGAGTTTCAGACAAAACCATCTCTAGGGTTTACTGAGAATGTTCTGAAAAAGAGAAAATATCCAGTGAATGGCAGTTCTGTAAACAAAAATGCCTTGTTGATGCCAGAGGTCAGAGGAGAATGGCCAAACCAGTTTAAGCTGATAGAAAGACAACTCAAATAACCACTTGTTTCAACCAAGCTATGCAGAAGAGCATCTCTGAATGCACAACATGTCGAACCTTGAAGCAGATGGGCTACAGCAGCAGAAGACCACACCAGGTGCCACTCCTATCACCTAAGAACAGGAAACTGAGGCTACAGTTTGCACAGGCTCACCAAAATTTGACAATGGAAGACTGAAAAAAGGTTGCCTGATCTAATGCAACATTCGGATGGTAGAATCAGAATTTGGTGTAAATGACATGAATGCATGGACACATCCTGCTTTATAAAAATGGTTCTGGCTGGTGGCCTCTTAGTACCAGTTGAGCATCGCTTATAGGGGTCCTATTATGCTCTTTTACAAAGTCTTGATTTTGTTTTGGGGGTGTACTAGAACATGCTCTCATGCTTGGAGGTGCGAAAAACTTATTATTTTTCACATAATTTACATTATTACAATACCTTTCTCCCCAGCCTGGCACAAACGGCTCGATTAGTTTCGGGTTTGATGAAGGCCGCCTTCCGAAAAACAAAATGTGTTGTTATTGGCGAACAGCTTAGATGCTTAATGCCCCGCCCCTTGCCAAAGCAGCAAGTTCCGTCTGCTCCAGTATAGTTAAGGATGGCGTCAATATTGCCATATCAATTTGAGCCGGATTCAGACCCCGAGAATATTGAACAAGAGGATCGCGCAGAAGCTGTGCACACACGGATATTGCAAGAAATATTAGAGTTGGTAACATTATTGTTTTTTTTTGACTAAATCCCGTTTTAGATAGGATGCCAATAACCGCTTAAAAATAACAGCATTTACTATGTACAGATAAGTGCAACGGTAATATGTATTATGTTTATTGTTCTTTAATTCTAACATTATAACATGAATTGCAGTGAAACTGTTATACAGTTGAATTTATTTATACCATAAGTCTCATAATTAAAGTGTAAATTCTGCAGATAACATCATTTTCCAGTATTGTACTGTCAGCAATTTATATAGATTTTTCATAATTGTAACATACATATTTACATAGATAATTATTCAGGTGCATGTGTAATAACTTGCGAAAAACTTGACGCTACAGCAGCACTTCTTCGTCGTCGTCGTCGTCGTCATCTTGTCTGATGCACTCAACCAAGCATTCCAACCACAACCTCGCCCCTCCCCACCCCCCAACCATTAAAATTTCCGTAGGCGAGATTTATTTTAATGATATTCTAATGGGCCGCTTTGTGACATCACAAAACCCGGAAATCAACGCTGTAGTCCAAACGAGCCGTTCGTTGTAGTTCTTGAAAAGGGATTTTTTTTTTTTAAACGAAGTCTTCCTTTGGAGTGGACTTTGAGATTTGTAACTTCTTTAGATCTTTTTTATGCCCAAACATACACACTACACACTGACTAAAATTCAAAAAGTGAAAAAGCATAATAGGACCCCTTTAAACACCATAGCCTACCCAAGTGTTGTTGCTGACCATGTCTATGCTTTAATGACCACAGTGTACCTATGTTGTGATGGCTACTTCCAGCAGGATAACGCACCATGTCACAAAGCTCAAATCATCTCAAACTGGTTTCTTGAATATGACAAGTTCACAGTACTCAAATGGCCTACACAGTCATCAGATCTCAATCCAATAGAGAACCTTTGGGATGTGGTGGAACGGAAGATTCACATCATGGAAGTGCAGCCAAGAAATCTGCAGCAACTGTTTGATGTCATCAAACCTATTCTCTGAGGTATATTTCCAGAAACTTGGTGAATCTATGCCTTGAAGAATTAAGGCTATATGTTTAAGAATTTTGAGTGATTTCATAGTGTTTTATTTGCATTAAAGGTGGGGTATGTATTTTTTTCAAAAATCCTTTAAAAAATTGAGTCGGGCCGAGTACCAAAACAAACTTGTAGCCAATCAGCAGTAAGGGGCGTGTCTACTCATGATGGGGACGAGAGAGCACAGGACGGACATTAGCCGAGCCGAGCGACGAGAGAAAGATAGAGATGGCAGATAAAAAAACAAAAGAGGAAAATGTCTGCGGAACAAAAGAAGGCTTACCATAAGGCAAGAAGTAGGACCCGTGTAAATATCGGATCAGCTTTTCAGCGCTGGAGAGAACTCAAGGAGTGGGAAGGCCTTCGATAGGACGCCGAGGTTTCTTTGTTTCTTCTCGATAGGTGAGTAACTTTGGTTTTGCTTTGTTTCGCAGAACTAATATATGCTGTTAAAACACATATGCACGTTAAAACACACAGTACTACCAAAACACATTCGACCTGTATTACCATAGTAACACATTGCTTTCACTTATTGATGACATCATAACATTGGCCGGCTGGCACAGCAGATTCCGCCATAATCGTTGACTGGGTTGCGTACGTATATGTGGGGAGGAGCTATCAAAATAGGGGCGAGACCCTTTTGGGGTAGGGGCGTGTTAGTTTTGGTGATTTGAAATATCAACATTGGCTACCAGAACTCACTTACCCCACCTTTAACTGATCAGTCTTCCTGTAGTTTTCCTGTAGTATACAGCGACAGACAGAGTAGTTGAAAATTAATTGTATGTTTTTTTTGTTTTGTTTTTTTGTTTTTAACAATGCTGGGCAGTGCATTGTGACTGTGAAAAAACAGCAATACAGAGAGAATCCACCTACTTGGCTCTGATTGGCTGTGATTGGCTTTGATTTGAATCACATAGCATTTTTGCTTTTAGTGTGGAACAAAAAATTGCAGTAATCGTGTCACATTATGCATACTAGGTCATATTTAAAAAAAAAAATTTTTTTTTAAAACTAAACTTATAGTAACAGAAAAATTGCTAAAACTAAAGACAGCTTAAAGATTATAAATACTGAAATAGAATCAAAAACAATAGGCTCTGATCATACATATGACAGCTTGAGAACCCCTAACCACTAGCATGCGAATTATCAATAATTTTGGATGCAAGCATGTTCTCAGCACACATCAACATAATCGCAACTTCAGGGCATGTTCTGTTTAACAGTGCTTTGCGTTTGAATGCAATTAGAATCTGGGCCACGGGGACTGACAGTCACTTGATAATGCATTTTTGTGTTGAGCATGACATTTTTCATGCACATGTTAAAAGCATCTTAGACGTTCACAAAGTGTGATGGACGGGTAATGGAATGAAAAGGTGCGATGGTTCTTCATGGTTCTCGTTATCCAGCGTAGGTTGTGTTCTCACCTCCAATAGAAGGTGGTGAATTTTCATTAGATGAGATCACAGATGAAGAGGCTCTCAAACGCATAGTTAATTTACACAGGCATCAGACATTAGTCTCTAATGGAGTCCTGTGGTGTCAGGCAGTTTGCACACCCACAGGCTTACACACATGTATATGCCCCCACAGTAAGCCTTCTAAACAGCATAAACAATTTAAGTTACATGATGTATAATTTAAACTATCCCTCTCGCAGAGTTTTTGAACATTTCTAATATGCCAGTCCTAATACTGAGTGTTTATTAATCAGCACAAGCCTATAATATACAAGTACATTAAACTCCAGTCTAAGTAACACATTTCAGCACCTAGGACAGCTCCTCTCATAGAAAACACTGCAAAATCCAGAGCATTTCAAGCTGAATGCTTGATGAAAAATTTAATCTTTGCCACTTTGTAGATATATCTTATAAAACAGTAGTTTAAATTTAAATGAAATATATACATGTGTAAAAGGGAAACTTATGGAAGCTTTCTAAGGAAAATGGCAGAATTGTGAGAAATATTCTCAATATTCATGTGTCTCACAGTTCTTTTTTTCCTGAATTGTTTATATATTACCTCACAATTATGAGTTTATATCTTGCAATTCTGAAAAAAAATAAAATAAGAATTGTCAGAGAAAAACGTCTGAATTGTGAAATAAATAGTCGCATTCCATGGCAGAATCAGGCTTCCATAAAAATTAGCTGCTTACACACTACCAGCGATGCACCGAGCAGTACATCGATTTGTACAAGTACCATGAGCTGCAAAGTTGTTTACAGCTCTTTTTCTTGAGTTGAGACAGAATGAGTATCAGATGAATCCATTTTCTTGGTTCTATTTACGTTATGGCTTTACATAATGGCAAACCAATTATAATGTTTAATTACTCAACAATAGTTTCCTGTATTGTGAAACTTTGCTTGCCCATTACCTTTTTACTGAACCATTAAGAATTGGTTTGATTTTCAATTTCAGATTGATTGCATTTTTCACACAGCAAATTGTACTCTGTCATTATCCTAATAATGGCTAATTGCATTTTAAATATGCGATAGATTATAAATTCATATAATGAGGTCTGGCAGTTAATTTGTGCCATAAATCTTTGTCAAGGTAATTTGTGTTTGTAATAATACTTGAGCTTGTGGGCTACCAAATTAATTAAAATCGATTGGGCCAAAAACATAAATCAAACTAATATATTTTCTAATTACAGGTTGTCACCTTTTGTGTTTCAGGTAGCTATTTGTCAAGTGGTTGTTAACGTGGTGTGTGCATGTGTTTGTGTGCACTCGTATACTCAACAGGCTTTGAAAATTAATCAAAGGTAGCGACAGTCCCGCACCATGCAGGCCGATTAGTGTTTTGAATGTGTGTCAGTGCAAGCAAACAGGTACGTCGCGCACTCAGAGAGCAAATGGATATGACTATAAATTGATTTCCTACTGTTAATTGGTCAACTATCTAACAGGGCCGAGATGCACTTCCTCTAAAGATTGTGAGATCACTCATCCATTTACACTTCGGGCTGCTCCACTGACCTGCTGTAATGTACAGGATGTGCGTTCATCTGAGAGCACTAGGACTCTGCTCGCTCTACCTAATCTGATTTGTGTAGCAGGATTGATTACAATGTAATGTCTGTTTCTCTGGGTTAATATATTAATGTAGCCAGCTCTTTGACTGCCTCAGTGCCAGACAGACACTAGGGTATCGATTTATGCCTTTTCTTGTCTAATTACTAGGGCGGAGAGCTGTACGACAGGCTGTTGGGAAACCTTACCTAACTGCACTCAGCCAAGCTCAAAAATTACATCCATAAATGCAACTCTTTTCACTCAATTGTGCACAAGCCGTGATGGTTAGGGGTTTTAACAACACTGGGAGAAATTAAGAGCGTTTTGTCTTTGCTACGTTTGCACCTCTAATTGAGCTGTGGAGACATCAGTATGAAGGTTGTAGTATTATGCAACAAAGTCTCTAACATCATTACTGCATCTCCTTCTATGACAATGCAAAACGGATGTGTCATTTTCATTTCTTTCTTTACCTTTTTTTTCCCCTCGTGCGGCGTAATAGCAGGAGACGGCGTTCGAGCGGAGTCTCAAATGAAGAGCTTATGTTTAGCAGGCGGAAGCCGAGGTAGCAGAGATAATATTTCCCGATATTGATCTCTCATGCTCTCATTCCAAACTGAGAAACGGACCTGGGGAATCAGAACACAAAGTTAACACATTCATTAAATGACAGCGAGATCACATAGGTCAAGTCTGAGTGTATGTGTTTTCATTCCTCCGCTCAGGCTGGCATGTATCACGGCTGATAATCCTCCATAAAGTACCTATCCAAACTTCAGATTGCCCTTCACATCTGAAGGCTTCTGTTCTGTTCAGCAGCTGTGTAGAAGAAAAAATAACATAACAGAGAACAAGTAAGAGGAAATGGAGAGAGAGGAGTGAAAAAGAGAAACTGGAAAGAGAGGGAGACCAGAGATGAAGACTCTGTCTGCAGTGCCATCTAGTGGCCATATAAATATTCAAAAGCTGGGATCTTGTGCACTATAGAGCAGTAAGATTCTCTTGTTTTCTTTCTTGCTATTCCTCTTCATTTCCTTACTTCATCTGCATTGTTGTGCAACTTGTCGAACTTCTACACATTTTCTATCCAATTTCCCCAATGCCACTCTGAGGACAGATGGGACAAATCGCAACAGACATGAAAGCCTCCCTCTCCACCATCCCTGGCCTTCTCCTCGGCAGGATTCCTCTGATTTCATCATCTACATGTTTCCACCAACCCTCCTGAGTTCGGATTATGCCTCTTCCCATCGGGGGACACCCGGGAACTGAGAACACGGTTTGGGAGATAAAGGAGGAAATAGAGCGAGAACAGACAGGGAGAGGCATGATTGCCACGGGAACAACAGGAAAAAACAGACGGTGGCATGGTGAGGAGGTGATAGTGTCCGATGGCCTCTTGGTTCTCCTCAGATGCTGATAGACCCCGGAGCCGGTGGCAAGACGTGTGATGCGTGTCCCCTGGCACCAGCTCACGGTGGCCCTCTCTCGCTCTCTCCTTGGCAGCACCCAGAATCCTCCAGGATTAATCACACCCTGGTTGCATGGCATCTGTCGCCCCCAGCTTGGCCAACTGCACAGCATGACATGATTAAACGTCCCCAGGCATGGAGTTCATGTGGCAGAGAGCGACTCTTCAGCACAACCAGCCTCAGATCGCTCACTCAGGGCTGGGTAGGAGATACAGAGCTGCGTAAGTCTTCGCACTCCCCGATATCCACTTAGAGAACTTAAAAAGGAATGAGGAAAGGACTGAGATCATATCAGCAGACTGCATCTTGTGTTTGAACACCATACTGTTTCTCTTCTTTTCTCTCGTGGTGCCTTTTTTTCTTTTAATATCTAGACTTTGCTCTTTGCTTTTCCCCTCTTGTCATTGTCTTCTTTAATTAAGTACAGTGGAATGCAAGACACCTCTTTACAGCCAAATAAAAAAGCATACAAAATTTGTGTTCTTTTATGGCTGTTTTTAGTCTTCGTCTGTACTTCAAAAAGCGAATCAAAGCCGACCAGCAGGGCAAGGTTATATGACACCATTTCGCCTGAGCCTCACTCTGACCTTGGAATGAAAAGAATGTTTGACAACTTCCATAGTTCAAATATCGAAATGATGCAATTATGTTGAATGCAACACTCAAATTGCTTCAATAAACTCTAATAATTAAGTTCCATCTCTAAACTTTGTTTCAGTTTTTCTATAGAAGCACAATGACTGGAAGCGCTGTGCCACCAAGAGGAAATATTCCTGCATTCTCCTGCTTATGGGTGCAGAACCAGAGCACATATTAATAATTCAGCAAGTTTAAGTTCAGTTAAAATATGCATTCTAATTGGGCCTAAGTGTGTGCACTCGACACTAAGTAGGTCTGCTGCCATTTTTTCCTACCCTGACACATTTGATAAACTTGATCCAGTTTTATCATGTTGAAAAAATATATCTTAAATATACTGGTGATAAAAACAAAATGGCATCAACAATCTCCAGTGTTGGCTGTTTAATGACACATTTAATTTGTGCATGATGCTAGAGGATAAACATTTAATACATGTCTGTGACTTTAAAACTGAGATGGTTTATGAGTAATCCAGAGGCACCTATGCATATTTTTTTCTGCTGTTAGGCTTCCAGGCAGCAAAAAAACACCTCATTAATTGCATGTCATTTTACTGGTATGTTTCAATTTAAATGTGACTGAATGGACTGTAAAGTTGGATTGTGGGCTCATTTATTCTTGACTGCCATTGTGGTCAAACCCTAGCTGGATATCTTACTGTAAATAGAAGCCAACAGCTGTGCTACTGTATACATGCACTACTATGCAAAAGTTAATATTTAAACGTAATTTATTCCTGTGAAGCTACATTTTCAGCAGCCATTATTCCAGTCTTCAGTGTCACATGATCCTTCAGAAATCATTGTAATATGCTCATTTGGTGATCAAGTAAGTTTTCTTATTATTATCATTGTTGAAGACAATTGTTCTGCTTAATATTTTGGCCAAAGCTACATTTATTTCAGGATTCTTTCAACTGAAAGGTAAAAAAAGAAAAAAAAATTGTAAATATGTATGTTTTCACTTGCTGTTAACTTTTTTGATTAATTTAATGAATCGTTGCTGTATGAAAGTAGGCTACTAATTTATTTCAACTTTTGAAAAGTAGTGCATGCGTATAATATTTTATATAAAAATTGAATAACAAAGGAATCCTATAATAGGTGCTTATTTCAGAGTAACAAAATTAATCACATGTAGATTGTAGTTTAGGCCTTATATATGAGATTGTGTTTGAACTGATTGTATGGCATGCTTGGTTTACCCTAAGATCTTGCTATAAATGCTCTCAAGCAAGAGTATCCCTTAGAATATGAAAAATATGGTCCTTATATGGAGATGGTTAGTTGTTGTGTTAATTAGGCTATTAACTGTGTGCACATGCTGCCTCATTTAGAATAATCCAGATTCATCACCATTACAATAAGGTAAGAAGAAATCATTGTATATGAATCTGCTTGCATACTTTTCCGTGCACATTTTGAATTCCAAATAAAATGAGAGAAAATAGATAGAGAAACTTTTGGACCAATATGAGACTCCACTGCCATGGCAATGTGTAATGCATTTGCTTGCAGTGAATGTCTGACTATTGGACTTCTTATTGATCAAAGAGCACAGGGTCATAGGAATAAATAATATAGATCATTATACTTTCTGTCTTCCTCTCTCTTCCCCTCTGCTCTCCTCATAGAAGCAGAGCAGCAGCACACACACATAAATACATGTACGGATGTGTTCAAGGGTGGAAACGGAAGTCCACAATTATACTGTGATGCATGAAACGCTATTGAACATTGACTTACGCATTCAAGCACATACACACATACGGTTGGCGTGGTAGGAGTGGAGTGATGGTCGTCTTTCTGGAGTGGACTGGTAGCTTTGATCCCTCTGTCATCAGTACATTTTTCTTCTCACGGCTCGCTGAAATAATACATAGCAGGCAGACCACCACAGCAACTGTGCTTTGTTGCCATGGCAATCGCAAAGAAACTAATTATTACCTGGCGGGGTGGAGATAAGGCTTAGGAACAGAAAGAGAGAGAGAGAGAGAGAGAGAGAGAGAGAGAGAGAGAGAGTGTGTGTGTGTGTGTGTGTGTGTACATGTGTTTGAGAGCCAGAGAGAAGTGATAGAATGTAAGCGAAAGAAAATGAGCAGATATAGAGGTGGCCAAGCAGAGGATGAGAACTGTATACAAAGAATCACTCATAACCGAATGGAAAGCCTTTCTTGAAAGATTAAGGCGGCCCACTGCCTGCAGGGCATGATGCCTCTGGCCTTCCCTCACCTGCTGAGAGAACACACTGGCAGATCAAGAGGAGCTATAGACTCATGCTAAAGAGCTAAACGGAAATGTAAGAGGGGGAACCAACAGAGAGAGGCTACACTTAAGATTTCATCCATGGGCTAATAAAAAATAAAAAAACACCAGCCTATCAAAAGAACCACATGGTCAGTCTTTTGTTATAGCAGTTAACACTGTGAGTTCCATTGTGTAACTCCTGGAAACATCAGTTGAATTCCCCTTTTGTAGTTTTAGAGATCAAACTCTGAAGTTGAATCATTTATAGCAGTTTAAATAAGTGGTGTAGTGTAATATATACTAATGTCATAGAATATTTGTGAGGGTTTGAGTCACATTTAAGCAAGAGTGTTGCAGGCTGGAGTTCTATAAACAAGAAATTAATATAAAGTAATTTTCATTTGTAGACACAATGTGGCTAGTTATTTTGTTCATTTTTGCACTGCCAAGACAAATCAGTGTCAACAGTTGCATGTGTCGCCTGTCTGGAGCATGCAAACACAGACAAGTGGAGTCATAAAAACAGTAAAACATTCTAGTGATGTTTTACTAGTGTAAATATCGCCAGTCTTGTAAGGCTACTTGTCTTTTGCATATGGCTGTGAAGAACACAAGAGTAGGTTTATTAAAGTTATGTCTTATTTGACATTTTAGGACTCTGAAGGGTCCTCACAAAAATTCCCTTAGACGCTGTGTGCTCTTGTATGTTTAAACTGCTTCTTTAACTTGAAGTGTCATCTTCTGTTTGAATTCATAACCATTTCTAAGGTTGTAAATGAGTAATCAAGGTTTATTATTATTATTACTTCCTGTATTCATTAATGATCAAGTTGTTGAATCAGGTATTTATTTTATTTTAATGAAAAATAATCTGACTCTGAACTGATCATGGTGTGGAATGCCTCCTAGAATATATACTAGAATATATATCTAGACTAGAATATATATCTCTGTATACATTTATCTTCCTTCAATAACTGTATGACTCATTCAGAGTAGCAGGAAATGAGGGTTATCTCCTGCAGTTGTGTACAATTGTTTAATGTTGATTGTCTCCATGTCTACTAGTTGTTCTTGTGCTAAGTTGTGTTTTGCTACTACAAAACCTCAATAAATCAGTTTCAACGCTGAATATTTTCATCCATCTAGCTGCAGTGGAATAACTATTAGACACTCTTTTTTATTTAGTCATTTTGCACACAAGCTGGTGTGTTGCTTTCCCTTCAAATTCTGGCTGTGCCAGTCATGTGGCAGCCATTTTGTTTCTCGCTGGTAGGTGGCAGGCAATGTGAAGAGTGGCAGCGTGGGGTGGATGGGCCTTAAAAGTCTTGACCTGTAATAGAGCGGACCACAGAGCGTGGGGGAAGCAGACTGGCATCCATATTGGGGGGAATTGGGGAGTAATCCGCAGGCACTCAGAACAATAAGCGCCCATGACCAGCATGATGGAGTTGATATCCAGTCCTCTGAGCTCATAAGCCCACAGACGCCAGTCCGCTGTGCACCGGAGCACAGAGCGAATCTCTCAAAGCATACAGGCTGCTTTCCTATTCTGTCTCATACTGATACAGACACATACACAGAGACACAACATGGTCACTGAAGGGAGGAGATTTTTACACATTTTGAAACTTATTTGAACAGCCCGAGCACACAAACAAAACTAAGATATGAGAATAAAAAATATATATTCAAGTGACACAAGCAAGATTGTTTTTCAGGTTTTGACATGCAGGCTATTCGATTCATTTTGCTCTTGAAAATCAAAAGGCATGTTAACTCACCTCAACCTTTAATCAGCCAACTAGCTGCCCAGACCTACATCCCAAAATATAAAATGTCAAATCCCACATGGAATGGGTACTATTATAACCAACGTATGGAAAGAATCAAATGGTATTTCCAAGAAATTAATCCAAAAGGTGTTGGTCATGTGACACTAAGAACTTGAGTAAAGACTTCTGAAAATTCAACATTGCATCACATCAATAAATATCAAAAACTTTAAATTGTATTAATATTTCACAATATTACTGTTTTACTTCATTTTTGATTAAATACATGCATCCTTGCTGAACATAAGTCTTCTTTCGAAAACATTAAAAAAAAATTTTGAATGGTAGTGTATGAAAGCTTGGCATGTGAGGCACACTTGTTGTTATTTGCTCATCCACCCTAGCTCTCTATGAAAGAAGTACATATGTTGAATGTGAACAAATGGTGGTTTTAAGATCAAATCCACAAAATCATTCTGAATGATTCATGTTTGAATCATACTGATCCAGTTTTGAAGGAGGCTCAGGTAACCCCACTGTTAAAAAAAAAGCCTACACTTGACACCTCACTTGTTGAAAACTACAAACCTATCTCTCTCCTCCCTTTCATAGCAAAATCACTTGAACGTGTTGTTTTCAATCAATGTCTTCCTTCCGCAGAACAACCAGCTGGACAATAACCAATCTGGATTTAAAAGTGGCCATTCATCCAAAACCACCTTGCTGTCAGTCACTGAATCACTACGGAGGGCAATATAATTAGTGCTCATTCTCCTAGATTTATCTGCTGCTTTTGACACGGTTAATCATCAAATCCTTCTGTCCACCCTCTCTTCGCTGGGCATCACCGGAATTGCACTCCACTCGTTTGAGTCTTACCTCACAGGTAGGTCCTTCAGGGTTGCTTAGGGAGGAGAGGTATCCAAATCACATACACTGGTCATTGGTGTTCCTCAAGGATCCGTTCTTGGACCCCTCCTCTTCTCTATATACCCTGGGACCCATCATATTGGCACATAGGTTTTCCTACCATTGCTATGCTGATGACACTCAGCTCTACTGCTCATTTCAACTAGATGATCCAACGGTACCTGCATGGATCTCAGCCTGACTGGTGGACATCTTGGCATGGATGAAAGAGCATCACCTGCAGCTCAACCTGGCAAAAATGGAGCTTCTCATCTTCCCAGCCACCCATCAGTACAGCACCAGTCCAACTAGGTTCATCAACAATAATCCCATCGAGTTCAGCCAGGAAACTCGGGGTGATTCTTGATGATCAGCTGACATTTAAAGATCTTTTAGGTTTGCACTGCATAACATTAGAGAGATCAGGCCCTTCCTAACAAAACATGCAACACAGCTTCTCATCCAGGTCCTCGTCATTTCTAGGCTGGACTATTGGAATGCTCTTCTGACTGAACATCCAACATCTGCAAATGATTCAGAATGCAGCAGCACATTTTGTTTTCAATGAGCCCAAGAGAGTCCATGTCACACCGCTTCTCATCTCTCTGCACTGGCTTCCAGTCATGGCTCACATCAAGTTCAAGACATTGGTGCTGGCCTACAGAACAGCCACGGTCCTCCGCACCCTCATACCTCCACTCTCTCTTACAAGTCTACATCCCCTCCAGAAGCCTGTGGTCAGTAAATGATTGACGCCTCGTGGTCCCATCGCAGAGAGGCTCAAAATTACTCTCAAGGACGTTTTCTTTCACCACTGGTGGAGTGACGTACCTAACTCCATCCAGACAGCCTAATTTCTCAAAATTTTCAAGAAACAATTAAAAACGCATCTCTTCCTCTTCCATTTTTCTATGCTCTCGTTATCCCTTATTCCCTTCTTGTCCAAACTTTTACTATTTGAACGATAAAGGAAACCTTGTGTAACGGGCACTTCTCGTGTTTACTGCTATCCTTTGTTGAATCGCTTGTTGTATTCCTCAACTGTACGTAACTATGGATAAAAGCGTCTGCCAAATGATTAAATATAAATGTAAATGAAGTTCAACTCAAGTTACACAGCTCACTAGATGGAAAATTTTGGTTTTTGATATGCCTTCAGAAGATTTGGTGTGTAGTGTCATATGGACTACTTTTTGGATGCATTTATTTGTGCTTTTATGTCCTTTCCACAGAATATTTCCTTTTGTATTCTACAGCAGAAAATTGGTCATAGGAACAGCCTGAAGGTGAGTAAATGATGACAATGAATTTTCTTTGTCAGGTGCTTACCTGATCTTAGATGAAGCTTTTGACGTCTCCAATAGGCAGAATCTGTGCTCATCTGTCTGAATATTTCTTATAATTTCCTGCACTCCACAGAGTAACTGGCAATCAGCTCTAAGTTTGCACAGTTATTAAACTTTTAAAAAGACTGCCGTTTTATACATGAAGCATTTACAACTGGAAGCCTGGACCTAGCTATGGCACTTATCAGAGAGCATAAATCTCTCATTTCAGATTAAGTAATGTGGCACCTGATACTGATGAGCCAGACAGGCCAGCATGACAGCTGCTCTTCTTCCCACAGGGAACCTACTTCCCTTCAAATGTGTAAAGCTGTCTGTAATGACAGGAAAAAAGTGCATTTATTCTGGTAATGTGTCCGAGAAATGCACTGATGAAAAGATTTCTCTGCTCAGGGTCTGAAACCACACAAAGGAACAAGAGACGGCGAGAGTAAAATAGGTGCTTTTGCCGGCACTATTTGCCCACCATATCAAACGGCACCAGACAGGTTTTACTCTCTCTGTATAAATTAACCTCCATTGAAAATGAGTTTGCTACTTATGCATGTAGCTATCCAAATTCAATTTTCTGTGGATAATTCTAATGTGGTGCACGCATAGCGAGAATATATTTGCATGCATACACAAGGAGAGGAAAAAGACCTGAATTGAGAACTCCAGTCGAGCTTATTACCCTCATGCCAAGAATGTGCCTGCTAGCAATTAATCATATTTTCGCTTCGGGTTAGAATACTGATTTTGATCTTTTGAGTGGGGTGGGGGGACTTTTATTCTCCGAACACAAAATTCCCACTGTCAAGATAATGGCAGAAAATGTAGTAGCTACCTGCACCTGTACACATGTCCACATGGTCTCACGACTTCAGTAAGATAAAGGCTAATTGGCTCATAGTGAACACTGCCTCATTGGCTCCGTGTGACACCAGTGTCACCGGTGGAGGGAAATGAGTGTGAAACAATGATGAACCTGCACTGTTTGTTGGGCTGTGTTAATATTAGACCTCGTATGAAGTGCATGTTCATGTGCGAGTGTGTTCGATTCTGGTGTATCCTTCAATGAATAGACTGTGATAATCACTGTGTCAAGCAGATGGGCTTAGCTGTAATTAAAATGTTCAATTTTAAATGCGATAAGCATTGTGTTTTAATGGAAACTCTAAGGA